AGGGGCCACTGCCGAGAAGGCCCAGTTCCTCGTTCTTTCCTTCCGGAGATCCCTCAGAGTTAGGCCCCTCAGCCGCCCGGCCTGGCTGGAACGAGTGACTCTGGCGGAATTGGGTGGGAGAAGGCACTCCGCCAGATAACGAGCCTAAACTGTTTAGGGCTTTATACATAACCATAAGAACTTTGAAATCAACACGGAAACAAATGGGCAGCCAATGCAAGGTGGCTAGCGTGGGGAAAATACTCTAGTAAGAAGTCTGGCCACCACATTTTGTACCATCTGAATTTTCCGTGTCAGTCTCAAAGGCAGACCTACGTAGAGCGCATTACAGTAGTCTAATCTTGAGACTATGAGCACATGGACCAAGGTGGTGAGCGTCCCCACATCAAGATAGGGGCGCAGCTGGGCAATCCACCGAAGGTGGAAATGTGCGGAACGGACCACTGGCAATACCTGGGTCTCCATGGTGATTGCTGGGTCCAGATGTACACCCAAGCTGCGAACCTCATCTTGATGGTAAGAGTCACCCACCAAAGGAAAGGGAGTTTCCCAGGCCACTGATGTCTGGTACACCTACCCGAAGGACCTCCATATTGCCCAGATTCAGTCTTAGTCCGTTTACCTGCATCCATTGCTGAACAGCCCCCAGGCAGCACTCAAGGGACGAAACAGCATCCACTGTTGTTGGAAACAACAGCTGTACTGATGACACGAAACATGAACCACTTGGTCTCTTGGTTACCAAATCCAGAGGATTTCACTTGGTACTTCTTCCTCTCACCTGATTTTAATACGCACACACATATATAACATCATAAGGCCAGTATTTTATTTAATATTGAATGCTAAAGTTAAAGTATTTACACACCATGATAAACTGCATTCAGGCTGAAATCTTGGCAGAGCTGCATGGTTGTAAATGATGATTAGTTTGTCAGTCATGGATGTTAATCTTTAAAGTTTCCTATTCCCTTCTGAAGTTCCCTTTTGACCTGGGGATCTCTTTTGACCCGGAGAAGCCTTTAGGATCCCTGGGATGAGAGGGAGCCTTTAACATCCAAAAATCATCATTGCCAGGATGATGCCCAGCTCTGCTTCTTTACCCTGGAACTTTGTGCCTCCAGTCTCCAGGAGTCCCTATGATACTTCCACTTGGATTCTTCCTCATTGCCTCAGTCTCAAGGATCACTTACGTTAAGCAACAGTTCAAAATATGTGTCATTGTAAAGAGAAATTGAAGTAAATAAACTCGGAGCCATGTGGTGTTTCAATCACAGTTTGTGTTCCCCCGGAACAAATGTTTAATCCGGTGCTTTTGAAGGGACTTCCTCATCAGATGTGTGCTCTCTCTCTCTCTCTCCAAATCCAACGCTGGAATTCAGAGAGGCAGGCGGGCAGGAGTGGGTGTGTGTGGATGTGGATGTGCCTGGAGGAGGACAGTGCAATAGGAAACAGCAAAGCAAACTGGTGCTAGAAAAGACTTCGCACTTTTACGAGCAGTGCCTTGTGAGTGCAGATGAGTGAAGGAGAGCCTGGCTGTGATGGGCAGCTGAAACATACCACAAACATATGAACAAAACACATGCATGCACAGTCAGCACAAAGAAGGAGGCACAGGCTGAAGCTGGCTGGCTGGAGGGGGGAAGAGAGAGGTGGCTGCAGAAGTGCAGAGGCCGCCTCTTTTGGTTAATCCTGCCTTATCCATTCTCCCATCCTGGGACTGGAAGAAAATTTGAGTGAGTGAGCAAGTGAGCAGCAGGGGGCTCCTGCAGGCTGCTTGGTGCCTGGGCTTCTGCCCCATTCCCCATTTTTAACACAACAACAGCAGGGGCAAGGGGCTGAGAGTCCGCTAGCAGGAGGGCTACTGAAAAATTATTGTGGACAGGGTGTTCACGTGGGGGGTGGTTTCAATTTAAATGAATCCATTCCACATCCATATTAAAATAAATGGACCTCTGGCAGAGGAGTAAATAAACTGAAGATGCTGGCCAGAGAGACTGGCGAAACGATAGTAAGAACAACCTTCAGAACACAGCCAAAGAGCCCGAAAAACCCACACCAACTGTCTGCTGCTCCAAAAAATACGATTCTCTCTCAAATTAATCTGCCCTTACATGTATGCTACATATTCAGCCATTTCTATAGTGACTGAAAACATGTGACACCCAATTTAAATATGGTTTTTCAAAGCAATGTAACCACCTTCTCTTTGTGCCTGGTACATTTTATCTCTCCTCTCAAATGCACCTCCCTTTTTTATTTGCTTGCCTTATCCATTTCCAACCCTATTGAACAAGCCTGTAGCCTTCAGCTTATCCTGACTCCTTTCTCTCTTTTGCCACATATATTCAGACTATCACCAAGTTTTGACACTTTTCTCTCTATCAGATTGCAAAAGCATGGCACGTGCTCTCTGTTGCCTCAACAAATAGTTTGATCCATTTCCTGGTCATCTCTCACCTTGACGTTTGCCGTGTTATCTTCTCTGGCCTTCCATTGTCTCTCTTTCATTCCACCACCTCTGCTGACTGAGTACTCTGTTTCCAAAGCTATTCTCATATTTCGTCCTCCTGACTATGTGATGCCACTTCTTGGATCCTTACTTTGGTTTCCTGTTAACTTCTAGATATCTTGTACAAGCTCCTTGTCCTTCTCCATACCTTCTGAATCTTCCATAAGCATGTTTCCCCATTCCTATTTATCTCTCCAAACTGATATCCTTATAAATCCTTGCCTGTGACTTTTGCTTTTCCATTCCAGACACCCTCAACCTCCTGAAAATTCTTTGGTCAATTAATTACCTTTAAAAGACAAATGATTCATATTAACAAAAGAAGGGTACAAAAAAGTTTCATGTTTCTTTCATGTTCCTTCTTTTGTTTAACCTTCATTATACCCTCTATATGTCAAATCACTGGATAAGTTTTTCATCCAGTAGCATCACAGGGGCTATTGCAAAAATGTGATGTGACATATAAGACCTGTCAGCAATCAGTCAGAAAACTGGGGATGGGGTGGGTGGGAATCTGTAGAAGGGTCTGGGACCCAATAATCAGTGGTTTTTGATTTGGTCCTTGTGATTCTTTCCCCTCCTGATTTCTTTGGGGATTTTTCTCCCACCCCCATTCATCCCTTGAATCATTTTTGCTGCTGCTCAGTCCTGGACAGCATGCTGCTGCCTACTAGACTCAGATGAGGAGGCATCAGATGGTAGTGAGGAAAGACATCTCCCCATCTTCCAGTAGTTTTGGTGTGGGGTTGGG